GTCTCCCTCAGCCCAAGCTATGTCCGTGAGTTGTTGTAAGAACAAACTGAAGGAGGGAGAAAACATGTACGCTACTTAGCTCCATGGAAGAAGGGTAGGATAAAAACACACTAAACAAATACATTTGCCAGCATATGACAACTTTACATGTTTATCTTATAGCACAGCATGAAATATAACCAGTTTATAGGAAGTGTCCAGCATATTTTGGGAATACACTGGGGGGGGGGGATGATTACATGACTCCAACTTAAATCCAGTTTTCTTTACATAAAACACAGTTCTCCCATTGTGTTCGTTGCCATGCTAACACATTGCTGTATGACCTACCATGCTATAGCACATTTATCTTTCATTCACATTTTTGTACAAAATCAACCTGTAATTTATTCATTTTCAAAGAGCTAAACAGCCTGAATTCTGTATACCTGAAGGAAACACCCCCCCACTTCACTTTCAACGGCAGACATTCTCTAGGACATTCTGCTGGACTTGTTTTGCCTTGCTATTTCCCCCCATTGGAAACAATGGAGGATGGGGGCACCCTCTTTGGGCGCTCATAGAATTGGACCTCCTAGTCCAATCTGTTTGAAACTTGGGGGTCCTTTTGGGGAGTGGGTCCAGCAGCTACACTACAAATGTGGTGCCTCTACCTCAAACCCTCCCCCCCCCGATCAGTGAATATACCCTAGGAGACTTGCCATTGAGTATAATAGCCCATAGGGTATAATGGAGCCGAATAATAGTCGAATAATATTCGGGAATCTCTATTCTACTCCTGAATAGATGCTCTGATTTGGTATTCAGCTTAATAAATACCCAAAAAATGCTGGAAAGGCATCATTCGGATATTTATTCAGCTCGGTAAATACTGAATGCACACCCTACTTACGACATTCTTCTCCTCCTGCATTTTATCCTGTCAACAACCCTTGAAGAGTAGGTTCAGCTGAAAGGGTGTGATTGGCCCAGGGTTAAGGAGGGAGCTTCTGTGAGAGTGGGGATTTGAACCTAGGTCTCCCACAGCCTATTCCACAACTCCAACCACTACACCATGCTGGGTATCAATGGTATCACTTCTGTTTTTATACTTCATGAAAATGTTTTGTTCTGCTTTGCTTGTGTTTTTATTATACTTCATAGCACTTTCTGATATTTTTATGTCATTGTCAGATGATTCAGGAGCCATGTTTGGCTGAGAATGGAATTTTAAAAATGTGTTGCTGTTGTCGTTGATACAATTATTATGCCACTCAATTTTTATGCTTCTTCTGGTTCCATTTACACAAAATATTCCTACCATATGGCTACAAGCCACTAGTACTAAACTTTCAATTTGAATATATTTTTTCCCAATGCATGTTGCATGTGATTTGTTTATGTAACACCTTTGTTCTGAATCACTGAGCAAGGGGAATGGAAGGACACAGAGACAGCACAAAATGCAGGAAATATAAAATAAAAAGAATGGAAAAAAACTTGCAATGATGTGTTTTCCTGTTCATCTGCCTACCTCTTTCTGCTGTCATCTTCAACCCCCTGGCATGAGACCCTCTAGTACTGAAGAGCTGTAAGAACAAATTGTCCCTGCTGTAAGTATAAAGAGGACTAGCAGGCAACATTACAACTATGTGCTGTTCCTATACTAGATGAGTGTTCCCTCTAAGGTGTGGAGTCTTGTGAGCAAAAATTCTACTTTGTGAGCTGCTGGCATTAAAGTTGTGAGTGAGCAATTTGGCTACTGCATACATTAGTTTGCTCTGGAGCCATCCTTCCTGAGCTAAGACAAAAATGTGTGAGCCGGAGGCTAAAAAACTGTGAGCTAGCTCACACTAACTCAGCTTAGAGGGAACACTGGAATACATTTTGATTGCAAACCTAAGCAAAGTTACACCCTTCTAAATCAACTGAAGTCAAGGCTTGGAAAAGGTGTAGCTCTTCTTATGATTACAGTTTCTCTGTTTAAATTGGTGCAGTCAAACATAGTGAACAAACCTCTAATAATCGTCCTGCTCCCACGTTGCCACCCTCCCTTAGCAAGCAATCTGTAAAACTTCCTGGTTTGGGAAGTCTTCGGTCTTACTCTCATTTGTTACATAAGAACATAAGAGAACATAAGAGATGCCAATGTTGGATCAGGCCAAAGGCCCATCCAGTCCAACACTCTGTATCCCACAGTGGCCAGAAATACCAGTGCCATCAGGAGGTCCACCAGTGGAGCCAGGACATTAGAAGCCCTCCCACTGTTGACCCCCCCCAAGCACCAAGATGACAGAGCATCACTTGCCCCAGAGTCCCTATCTATACCTTGTGGCTAATAGCCCCTGATGGACCTCTGCTCCATATGCTTATCTAATTCCCTTTTGAAGCCGTGCATGCTTGTAGCTGCCACCACTTCCTGTGGCAGTGAATTCCAAGTGTTAATCACTCTTTGGGTGAAGAAGTACTTCCTTTTATCCGTTCTAACCCGACCGCTCAGCAATTTCATGGAGTGCCCACATTTCATGGAGTGCCCACATTTCAGTAAGAGTGCGTGGGAAACCTGGAGTTACCTTCCTTCCTTCCTTCTTTCTTTCTCACAAACTGGGATACTAATTACACTGGATTAGAATGTCAGGTTGCTGGAACAGAAGTGTGTTCCTGACATTTGAACAAAGGCTGCATTCAGAGATCACAGCAAAATTTTAAAAGGTGTTTACACAACAAACTCCTTCCCCATAGGATCCAGTCCACCACCTTCTCCAGGGTCAAGGTAACACTTGCAGTTGCCAGGTGGCTTTTTAAATGAATGCACAAATGTGAACATGCTTTCCCCATCATAATATATGTATGTGCCATCAAGTCACAGACAACTTATGGAGACCCAACAAGGGGCTTTCAAGGCAAGTGAAAAGCAGAGGTGGTTTGCCATTGCCTTCCTTTGCACAGCCTTCCTTGGTGGTCTCCCATCCAAGTACCTATCCTGCCTATCTTCTGAGACCTGACAAGATAAGGCTATACCGTATCGCGTTCCCTCCCACTTACGACATAATATCCGTGCTATTTTATTAAAGACTGTATCTTGTACTAGATCTATCCAGAAATCCATCCTCTCATCTGAGGATCATCAAACAAGTTACATTTGGATGAGAAAGGTTTTTACCAGTATGCATATGTGGGAATCATTCCAGCAGTTACCCTTGTGAATGCACTTGGTGGTCTCCCATCCAAGTACCTATCCTGCCTATCTTCTGAGACCTGACAACATAAGGCTATACCATACCGTGTTCCCTCCCACTTACGACATAATATCCCTGCTATTTTATTAAAGACTGTCTCTTGTACTAGATCTATCCAGAAATCCATCCTCTCATCTGAGGATCATCAAACAAGTTACATTTGGATGAGAAAGGTTTTTACCAGTATGCATATGTGGGAATCATTCCAGCAGTTACCCTTGTGAATGCAAAATGATTTGGCAGAATGGATCTTTAACAAAACTATTCAGAGGCTTTAAGAAAGGAGGGACTAACAAAACTCTTCATAGCAGAGGAGTAGAAATGACCACAGTTAAAAATCCTTACTCCTTTTGTCACGTAGGTGATAACTAGCTTGTGTACAGTGTTCCCACCTGAGCTGTGTGCCAGCGGCTGCTCATTAACACAGGAAACCCCACCCAGTAGCAGTCTGGAGCCACACAGGGTCTTGCACTGCCCATTTCCCAATATTAAGATCACAGCAGTTATATTCTGATTAGGATGTGAACTGCTCGCTCTGTAGGGGAGGAAAAGTAGAGGGGACATTGCTTATGTATACTGTGTTCCTAGTATATAACTGCAGAAGCGCTCCCATATATCACACCTGGGTCCAAAAACCATCTGAAATATCAATTAATCAACATGTGTATCTGAAAAGTGTCATGAAAGGCCAAGGTCCTAGGAATAACTACCTTAGATCCTTAACATTTCTGTGTTTTCCTTGGATGCAACTGATAGCCACAGAGTTGCTTGAACTCTTTCTCCACACCCTTCACTAGTACTGATTTTCTAAAATGTGCATAATCTGCATAGGCCAATGTCACACCTGAATTTGCACCTCATGCTGGAATCTTCCTGATCAAAGAACATATTTTCATTACTTCCATAACATCTGAATTACTTTGAGAACTGAATTGCACTTCATTACCAGCAGAATTTTGAAATTCTGAATGTTTTTGTGTCAGGCGATTGAGACATGCTGTAATAGCATGAAATGTAAAATATATATATTTTGAAGTTAATATTTTTCCAAGTGCTCACCAGAGGCAGTTACATCGCACCGAAGGGGTCAAATGGTTTTGGCTTGCAACGTTCACTGTAACAAAAACGAGGCATTTGTGCTTTCTTCCGTCAATGCGAGATGCGCATCTCTCCTAACATGCATAATAACCGAGTTACACCCTTCTAAGCCCGTTGGTCTAGAACCCTGTTTAGGATTGCGCTATGAAAATGAGAGGCGTGAAACTGTCTTCTGGCCAGCTTACAAACAACACTGGAAGCAACCGACTCATGCGCCCCAAATAAAGCTGCGTCCCCCCCCCCCCATCGCACAAACATATGCTCCGTGAGAGTGAGCAGCCGCAGTCAGAGCAGCCCCAAATGGATTGTTATATAAGCCCCCCCCCGTGTTTTCGAGAGCAGTGGAGAGATGGAGTACTAGTACGAGGAGGAGGGGGCGCCGCTGCCGCCGCCGCTGCCTCCCTTCTTTCTCTCTGGCTCCGATTGTGGCTGCTGTCGCTCAGGTTGATTGGGAGTGGACGGCGGAGAGGCCTGGCGCAGGCCCAGGCCCGAGGAAAGCTGCTTAGCCCTGCCTCGGTTGCCATGGCGACGAGCAGGAGGCAGCCGCGGCGGCGGCGGCGGCAGCAGCGAGGCTGTCAGTAAGCGAGGGAGCGAGGGAACTCGGGCGCAGGCAGCCGCGGGGGGCTGCAGGAGGGGAAGGCAGCCTCCTCCTCCTCCTCCTCCGCCGCCGCCGCCGCCGCCGCCATGGCGGCGCACTGCGATTGCGGGGAGCCCACCACCGCGGTCGGCGAGCCGCCGCAGCCCTCCGGCAAGCTCAACCGGACTGCCTTCAAACTGTTTAAGCGGAGGAAATCCGGCGGCGCCATGCCAAGCATCTTCGGTGTGCGAGGCGGCAAAGGCAAAAGCGGCGAAGGCGGCGGCGGCGGCGGCGGGCAGGCGGGCATGGTGAGGAGTAAGACGCACGACGGGCTGGCCGAGGCGGTGCTGGAGAGCGGCAAGAAGGAGGAACCGGGCGGCGGCGGCGGCGGCGGCGGCGGCGGAAGGGACGAGCAGCGCGGCGACGGGGCCAAGGAGTCTTCGTCCTCCTCTACCTCCTCCTCCTCCGCCGCGGCGGCGGCGGCTGTGGCGGTGGGCAAGTCGCACAGCTTCTTGTCGCTCTTGCGCAAAAACGGCGGCAAAGGCGAGCGGCCGAAAGGGCGCGGAGGGCTCAAGGGGCTATTCAGCAGCATGCGGTGGCCCCGCAGGGAGAGCAAGCCCGGCGGCGGCGGCGGCGCCCGGGAAGACGAGGCCGGCGAGAGCTCCGAGAACAGCCAGCCCAGCCCCAGCCTCCTCATGCCGGGCTCCTTGACTGCCAGCCTGGAGTGCATCAAAGAGGAGGCCCCGCGGCCGCTGGCCGAAGCCCCCCCGAGCTCGCCAGACTTGGCCGGTGGGGACAAGCCGCTGCCCGCCCAGACCACCGAGGCGACGGCTGCCGCTCAAGAGGAGGAGCCGCAGGCCCCCCTGCACAGCCCCCCGGGAGAGGAGCCGCCCGGGATCCAGGCCAAGGAGAGGCACCCCCCGCCGCCGCCAGAGAGCGAGGGCCAAGAGACCAAGGAGGACTCGGCTGCTCTAACAGGTGACACCCCCGTCGGGCCTTCCCCCCCTGTTGAACCCGAGTGTGAAGGCAGCCGAGAGAAGGCGGCAGCCCCTGACCCTTCCTCTCTTGATCCACCCTCTGAGCCGTCCATTGACCGTATTTGTTTGATGTTTGCTGACGTGACTTCACTGAAAAGCTTTGACTCTCTTACAGGCTGTGGGGACATTATTGCTGACCAGGAGGATGACGCCCGCAGTGGTGGAGGTGGCAGTGACAAGAGCGCCGCTGGGGTCGGCAAGCCAGGGGCCTCCAAAAAGCCTCCTAGCGTGGTGGCTTACCAAGGCGGAGGAGAGGAGATGGCCAGCCCCGAGCAGGTGGGGGACACCTGCGCCTCGGAGTTCTGGGATACCTTGTCCCAATCGGAGGAGAAGTCTCAGGAGACCCCAGCAGGGACAGAATCGCTTGAGGCCTCCAAAGATGGCAGAAAGGTTCAGGATGGGTCAGCAAGTGAGAAGCACATTGGTGTCAACCAGGTTCCAGCTCACCACAAAGATCAGAAGAGCAGGGAAAAGGAGCAACAAGAGGCTGTCCCCAGCAGTGACGAGGGCTATTGGGACTCTACCACACCCGGACCTGAGGAAGACAATGCTAACAGTATCCAGAAAGAGGTAATTCCCAGGGACAGCTACAGTGGGGATGCTCTGTATGATCTTTACACTGATCCAGATGAGAACACAGCTGCGGTGACTTCTGCAGACGTCACCTCTGTGAGTTGCTGCAAGCCACTGTCTCCAGTAACCAGCACATGCCCAGTCAAAACCCATACAACTTCACTCAAGGATTCCAAGATACCCATCAGTATCAAGCATTTTACATCGCCACATGGCAGTCACGGTCCGGATGCCAGTAATAGCCATCATACTGCACATCACCAGCCCACCAAAAGTGAGATCCCTAGAACAAAAATCCCAGTTTCTAAAGTGCTCGTGCACCGGGCCAGTTACCGGAGCTTAGCAGGGACAACAGGTAAAACAGCCACATATCATGAAAGTGCCAAAAAATAGGAGGCAAAGGTGGGCATGTGAGTCTTTGCAGTTTGGCATCGTTCAATGAAGACACCTACACGTGCCCCTTCTATGAATCCACGAGACATGTGCTTCTAAATATATATATATATATATATATGTATAGATTCGTTTGGAGCACTTTTTAACATTTGTATCTCTTCTTTTCTGGAGCACTAGATACTCGGGTGGCCACTTTTCCATGCCTTTTGTGGAAGCAGGATTAGGAATATAGTTAATAATGCAAAACTTGTGCCATGAACTCTTCAAAGAGGACACAGCTATGGGGAGAGAAAACCAAGGAGTTTTCCTATATATATAGCATTGACTTTTTATTTTTGTTCTTCTGGCCTACACTGAGAAATGATGTGTGTTCTAGTGTGCAAAAAATGTCAAGCAAAAATAATAATGGCAAAATCAGTACAAGCTCTGGTGTTCAGCTGAGGTATAGAGAGCATTGTCAATCAACAGCAGATTCAACACACTTGTAAAAGATAACTGTTTAGCAAGAGGTGGGTTTCTGTAATAAGAATTATTTTTTGCCTGTCTGTCTGTTTACTTTGTAAGTGGGTAATGAAGACATCTAGCAAACTCAGATACTTACATCCATATTTTTTTTCCAGTGCATAAAATAATCAGATTCAGGGAATCGTTTTTTTCAAAATGCCAGTAAAGAGACAGCTACAATATTTATATGATAAATTATTGTTCATGTATAGATAGATACATATGTTATTTAGTGGTATGTTTTTTTAAGAAAATATATTAAAATGTCTTTCTGTATTTACTAGAGTTAAAGCAAAATTAGTTTTTATAGTTAGATAATTTTACAATTGTAGATTTATGGGCCTTCCTAAAGAACCATAAATTAAAGCAAAAATTTATATGGGTTCTTAACAGCCTTCCCCCCCCCACCCCCCAAACAGGTCTGTTGTGTTGCTCTTATGCTAGTGATGCATGTGTAATACTGGAGCTAAGGTTCTACTGGTGTCACTGCAAACCCCTGTTCTCAGGAGTTTCTAAAAACAGAACCTCAGCTTGGACCTTGTAGAGCTGCAAACTCCCCCACTGACCCCGGCTGACTGATAATCCTTTTTTTATAAAGAATTTAAAAGAAAATAGCTTTGGATATTTAAAAAAGATCAGATCCCCCCACCCCCAAAGATTTAGACATCGAGATTATCTTACTGTCGTAAAAGAAATTCGGCAAACAATTAGTCCATGAAATGGTTCAATCACTTTGGATACAACAGACATGGTTGAAGGCCACCGAATAGTGGTCAAAGAAGCATGATCATATTATGTGCCTAAAGATCTGTTTTCAAGATAGACTGAAACAGCCTGTTAGAACAACAATGTTGTTGTTTAAATGGAAAATAAACCTTAAACCCTCATAATACCACTAAGCAAAGGAGCTGTTTCAGTGCATCTGGAAAATAGAGCATATTTTAAAACATGCTTTAAAAACAATATATATTCTGTGAATCAAAATATATTTCATCCAAGTTAAAATTTTATTTTATCCTTTTTGAGTTTCTGTAAGTAAATGTAAGTATGGGGGGAATATACAAGGAAATAAGAGCATAAAGGCTGTCTGTAACTGAAGAAAAGCTCAGAAATACGACTGCAATCTTGCTACATTGCTTAAATCCCATTGGTTTAAATGGCATTTAAGCAGCTTCTGTACAGAATTGCAGCCAAAATAAAGAACAAGAATGTTTACTTACAAGGCCCAAGATCCAAAGAGCTGCTTTTGGCACACCCAAGGGCTTGGGCATGCCCAGTGTGATTTTCATTTTTTATTTCTTTGAGAAGCTCCCCCTCCTCATACCATATCAAAGCTGCTTTTTAAAATCTCCCTCAGTTTCAAAAGTAGTTTGCTGTGTGGCAGTTGGTGGGGGGCTGCTGTTCACGAAACTTTATTCCCCAAATCCCCTGGACATAGGTTTTGCCATCCTCCATCTGGCACCTGGAGATCTCCCGCTGTTACCACTGATCTCCAGGGGCCATTATCAATTCCCCTGGAGGTAATGACTGCTTTGGAGGCTGAACTCTGTGGCATTATACCATGCTGAAGACCCTCCTGTCCGCAAACCTCACCCTGCCCAGGCTCCACCAAAGTCTACGGGTATTTCCCACCCCAGAGCTGGCAACCCTGCCTGGACATGTGGAATAATGTGATAATGTAAACCACTTTTCAGATTCTAATCGAGATTTCTGCTCACAGATTGTAAAGAATTGTGAGATTAGTTATGGGATCCTTAGTGGACTCAAGTGCCAACAGCACCCCTCTCCCTTTGTCCTTCATGGCAAATTGCTTTCGAAAGGGGAGATTTTCAAAAGAAGTTTATAATATGGCATGGGGTCAGTTAAAAATAAAGTTCACTGAGTTAACGCAAGCCTTTCTCATTGATCAGCTCTTTGGATCACTGTCAATGATATCACTGGCTTGCAGCTATGTAGATGCTAAGATCCTCAAGCCACTTAACCCTGGAGAATATTGGGAATGCCATTGTTAAACATGCAAAAAAGGTTGAGATTGGTCATGTCTTCCAATGTCCCAGAGGTGGGAGCCAGGGTTGAGTTTTAGCCTTTCAGTCCATATCCTATGTTGCTTTTTGTTACAGCCTGATAGCCAAATTCTAAATTTGCTAAGTTGATGATAAATTATATTGAAATCATTGAATCTCCTGAGTAAAATATATGCTTAGAATCAGAGCTCCAGCGTACTTAAAGGTGATTTATTTTGTATACTTTCTCAGAGTGTATTTGTGGGTGGCTGCAAGTGCATCCATTCACACGCAGCCATGTACATATGCATGTATATTCCTGTGGACACACATACTGTACATGCCCACACTTCCGCGTATGCTAATGGGCACATACACTTCCATGCACAGACTAATAGGCCAAGGGTACCTACAGCAAATCTTGTGAGATCATGTTGACTGTTATTTATGTTTGCCTGAGAAACAAATTCACAGTGACCTGATATTACTTAATGTCTTTGGTGAAGAAGATTTGGGGGTGGGGGTGGGGTGGAGGTAGTGATTGGCTCACCCTTGTGTATTCCCACTGAAGGATGTTAGACCACACCAGATTAAATAGTTGCCGCCTTGTAGCTGTTGTATTTTGGAAAGAGAGAATATAGAGAACCCTGAATTCTATTTCTGGTCATGTAACAATCAGCTGTTCTCTGCTTTCCATCAGTGATGCTCATGCCCCTCCTTTTGCATGCTGTTTATGCAAAACTATCAACATTTTGCTTGTCTTGTTTTGATGGAGCACTTGTGTAAAGAAGCGATGCAGGGAACCTGAAAGTCGATCTGGAGAGAGGATGTTGTGATGTGCAGGAGGAATTGCTTACAGGTCAAAAAAAGCTATCTGTGCGCTATCAGGAGGAGTAAGAAACAACGTTATCGTTTTGACTGTCTTCATTTCTCTTGGAAATCTTCACCATGATGCAAGCCTGTATGTATTAACACTAGAGTTATCCATAAGTAATTGTCCCTTACCTAAGACACACCATTAAAATATTTTGTCTTTCTTTCATTTTCTTGCTCTTTCATTTCCCATCCTGTTGTTGCATCTCTCCCCCCTCCCCCCAGAAACAGTCAGAAGTGTTGTATGCACCATCGTATAGGGGAAGCATTAATTCTTGTCAGTAGCTACTGTGGTTGTTGGCCACATCTGCAGCCCCTGTGGTGCACAGGAAAGTGTCTGTATGATCAAAATTGCTTGTGTGACTTTGCTGGTAAAGGTATGTTAGCACAATGTATACAACTAACTAGCAATAATATATTGTTAAGAAAGCAACATTTGCATTGGACATTGTCTCTCACATGATGCTTTGATAATAAACCAATAATAATGGTTTTGTGACTATATCAGCTGTGGTGGAAACTTCCCTGGTTTATTCCACTGGAAGTGCATTAATGACAATAAAGGAAAAAAATAACACAAAAGTGCTGTTCCTTTAACACATACACTTGCGTAAATGAAAGGGCTGGCATCTGGCTAGTAGGTCTGAAACTTTGAAATGTGAAGAAAAGTGAAGGAAGGAGGAAGAAATAAGGGCTTCCATAATTTGCAACTATCAGTTGGTGCGTGGTTGGAGCTCATTTGACTATTAGTGCTGTCTGTAAGTTGATGACAATCATTTTTTCTTGAAAAGGAGGAGGAGGAGGAGATAATAAGTGTGCTTTTTATCACAGTAACACAGAGGACTTGATTCACAAGTAAGGGTATGCAAGGCTATATAGACAGACACATGAGTCTGCATTTTGAATACAAGAGTTTTTACACACGTCTGTTTCTACCACAGACTTGTAAACTCACTGAGCTAATTGTCAGAGTTTCAGGTGATTTCAGGCTACAGAAATATGTGAACTTCATTCTCACATCATGTTTTGTCTGCATAGAAGCAGTGGAGAGCTTCTTCCACAACTGCAACACAACAGCATGTGAAGGCAACCACATTACTCAGAGTCCTTGGTGACATGAGAGTTGAATGTGTATACACTGACTATATGCGATGCTTCCTATGTGCATCTTAGTGTTTCAAAGTATGCCCATATTTTACCATGCCCTATCATCCCACTTATGGTTAAACCACATGCCGCAATGAACCAATGCCATAAGAACTGTCCATGAATTATTCACAAAATATACTTTCTTCTTAAGTGGCTAATGATTTTTGAACATTCCAATTCTGCAGATTTATGACCTTGAAACTAATTTCTTTGTCAGGAGGCATTTATTTTTTTAATAAGAGGAATATATTTGTATTTCAGACCTTAAAACAGTGCCCAGATAACAACTGAAAGGGATGTTCGGCAGGATGGGTGTATCTCATTTTCTTCTATAACCTGTAGAGCACTCTAATAAGTTAGTGAGGGTGGAAATGGCAGAGTGCTAGAATTAACGCAACAAAATGCAAGGGGATTACTGATGGTATTCTAAAGAAATGTGTGCTTTAATCATAGAGATTCTTGTATTTC